AACACACACACTCTCTCTCTCACACATACTCCTCTCCTCTCCTTCTGTTTTCAAATTTTGAACTCTCTCTCTCTCTCTCCATTGGAGCCCATTCCCGTACCTCCCTGTCGAGACCCAACCCTTGCCGTGCTTCCCTGTCTTCATCTTCTCTCTTCCTCCCTCCCTCTCTGCCGTCAACAGGGGAACATCAACAAGGGAGTCATCCCCGGCCAGAGCATTACCTTCACCGTCCCCGGTTACCCCTCTCTCTCTCTCAAGCAAATATGTATACTTTGCATTTTGGATGTATATATATTTATATGTGTATATAGATGTATGTAATGGGTTTGAAATGGGTTAATTTGAAATGGGTTTGATTTATGAAATGGGTTTGAAATGGGTTTGATTTATGAAATGGGTTTGAAATGAACACACCCTCTGTAAACACACCCTCTGTAAACACACAAATACATTTATGAAATGGGTTTGATTTGTAGTTTATTTATGTTATATATTATAGGAGTACAAACTTGAACTACAATCTTGATGTAAAAAAGCACATTTTCGAAAAGGTTTTTGAGAATTGCTTCCGTTAAAGTTGGTTTATCTGTTACTGAAGAATCTATAAATTTTCTTTTGACCATCTTCAAAGACCATCATCATATATCAATCTTCTAATTTTTTTTTAATTTTTTTTTGTGTGTGTATAATTATTAATTTCCTAAAATTCTTAAATAATGTATTAAATATATGTTCATATTTAAATATAAAAAATCAATCATAGAAATTAAATCTCAAATTTATTTTATGAGTATTTATTTAGATTTAGTGAATTTACCACTTCAAATAAGATGTTAGTTATAAGTTCTCATTAATTAAAATATATCATTGATTATCCTTTTGAATTTAAAAAATAAAATAAAATTACACAAATAGTGGCCCTGCTCAGATCTAACCTCCATACAATATGTTTTTCTCAAAAAATAAAAATATTACTTTTCAAAAAAAAAATATAATGCAAATACCTAACATTATAATTTGGAAAATTAATTTAAAGACAGAAATATGATACCCAAATAGTAAGAATTTTACTTTAACTTAATGCGAGAAATTGGCTTATATTATAAACTGTAAAAGAAAACATCATTTTACTATATCAAACCCATTTATGAAATGTATTTGTGTGTGAACACACCCTCTGTAAACACACCCTCTGTGTTTGTGTATATTTGTGGGTTTGAAATGAACACACACCCTCTGTCCCCGGCCATATAATTTGCATTTTTGGATGTATATATATATGTATATATATGTATATGTGTATATAGATATATGTAATGGGTTTGAAATGTTTGATGTTGAACATAGTTTAGTTTTGATTTATGAAATGGGTTTGATGATTTATGTATGAAATGGGTTTGATTTATGAAATGGGTTTGAAATGTATTTGTGTGTGAACACACCTCGGCCAGAGCATCCCCAAGGCATCTTGCTCGCTGCAGACATGGATGGTCTCTTATGGGTTTGGTTTTGGCAGATGCTTCTGTTTGCTTTCTTTGTTTGATCATTCACCTATTATTTTATTTTATTTATATTTTATAAATAAGTTTGATACATAATAAGTTTGATAAATAAGTTTGATACATATTTTATTTTTAAACTATAGAACATGAATGGTTTATTTATTTATTTTTATTTTTTATTTTTTTATATTTTATAAGTTTGATACATAATAATATTTTGCAATAATAAATATAATAGATGCATATATATACAATTTTCATAAATAAATCAATTTTCTGAATATATTTAGCCCAAGTATTGATTTAGATAGGAGAAACTAGACTAATTATAAAGATATTATTTTAAATTTTTATCAATGGGTTTAATTTGACTGGTTCGATGGTAATTTTGAAATATCTTAAAATTTAAGAATGAATTATAATTTAATGTTATCAATGTAAATTTTTCATATTTTTTAATTTTATAATACTTAAAATACGTATGTCATTTTGTGATTAGTTCAAAATCTAATTTACATAAATCAAGTTAATTTTTGAAACCTCTTAGTCATGACCAATAATATATTAGTATTATTTACTTAAATTTTTTGATTTCAAATCATGTAATGATATTATTACTATTTTTAATTTCAATGGTTATGGTTATGGTATAAAATTTATATTTATAACATTAGTTTATAAATTAAATTGCAAAGGTTTAACTGCTAGAAAAATTATCATAAATATTATATTATAACAAAAACCAATGATTAAATGACACATGTGTTTTTATAAACTCAAAAAATTGAAAACATACCACAAGAGTAGGGGATGGGTTTTAGGGTAGGAATGAGACACTGTGTAACGCCCTCAAAATAACAACAATAAACCCATCAGATAAGACATACATTTACATATAAACTAACTACATTCTTTTATTCATTAAAGTTCCATTACTTAAGTATTACATGTTAACATCAAAACAAAATGCCCTACGGGCTTACAGCTTTCCAAGTTAACACTTGGTTACAACAAAGAGTACTAACTCGTTTACACATTAAGCCCTTGGCTTGAAGTTGCATGTAATACATCAAAAGTTAAGCGACAAAAGTATGTCCGCCACTAGCCTCCCAGCTATGTCCTTGGAGGTGGCATGCTTCCTGCACCTGAAAATGATATTCCAATATAGGGTGAGCCACAGCCCAGTAGAAATACACTAAACCAACCATGGACA